TTGAATGGAGAACTGCTAAAACAAATGGGAAAAAATGACAAAATAAAAGAGCTGAACAGAAGCTTTCAAAGAATAGCTCAAGAAGACAAAGTAAATTATTACAATGAAATGTGCAAAGACCTGGAATTAGAAAACCAAAAGGGAAGAACACACTTGGTATTTTTTAAGCTGAAAGAACTGAAGAAAATATTCAAGCCTCAAGTTGCAACACTGAAGGAATCTATGGGGGATATATTGAATAATGTGCAAAGCATCAAAAGAAGATGGAAGGAATACAAAGGGTCATTGTACAAAAAAGAATTGGTCGAAGTTTAACTATTTCATGAGGTGACATATGATCAAGAACTGACAGTACTGAAGGAAGAAGTTGAAGCTGCACTGAAGGAATTGTCGAAAAACAAGGCTCCAGGAATTGATGGAATATCCACTGAGATGTTTCAACAAATAGATGCAGTACTGGAGGCACTTCCTTGTCTATACCAAGTAATTTGGAAAACAACTACCTTGCCAATTGACTGGAATAGATCCATATTGTACCCATTCCAAAGAAAGGTGATCCCACAGAATGTGGAAATTATCCAACAATACCATTAATACCACATGCAAGCATAATTTTGCTGAAGATAATTCAAAAAGAGCTGAAGCAGTACAATGACAGGGAAACTTCCAGAAATGCAATCTGGATTCAGAAGAGGATGTGTAATGAGAGATATCATTGCTGATCTCAGATGGACCTTGGCTGAAAAAAAAAAAAACACCAGAAAGATGTTTACCTGTTTTTTATGACTATACAAAGGCTTTTGACTTTGTAGACCACAACAAATTATGGCTAATGTTGCAAAGAATGTGAATTCCACAACACTTAATTGCACTCAAGAAGAGCCCATATGTAGATTAGGATGCTGTTGTTTGAATAGAATAAGGGGCTACTGCATGGTTCACAATCAAGAAGTATGTGTCATACCACAGGTATGTCATCTGTATGCTGAGAAAATAATCTGAGAAGCTGGACTATATGAGGAAGAATGTGGCATCAAGATTGGTGGAAGACTCAGAAACAATGTCCAATATGCAGACAACACAACCTTGCTTGCTGAAAGTGAAGAAGACTTGAAACACTGACAGTGACCAGACTACAGTCTGCAGTATGGGTTATGCCTCAACATAAAGAAAACAAAAATACTCACAACTGGACTAATAGCCAGCATCACAATAAATGGTGAAATGATGACGTTGTCAAAGATTTCATTTTAGTTGGATCCACAATGAAAACCTATGGAAGCAGCAGTCAAGAAATCACATGTCATATTGCACCCTGGCAAATCTGCATTTTTAAAGTGTTAAAGAACAAAGTTGTCACTTTGAAGACTATGGTGTGCCTAACCCAACCCATGATATTTTCAATTGCCTCATATGCATATGAGAGCTGGACAATGAATTAAGAAAGACTGAATAAAAGTTGATGCCTCTGAATTATGGTGTTGGCAAAGAATACCAAGAATAATACCATGTACTACCAGAAGAATAAAAACATCTCTCCTGGAGGAAGTACAGCCAGAATGCTCAAAGAATAGCTAGACTTTAACTCACCTACTTTGCTCATATTGTCAGAAGGGATCAGTCCTTGGAGAAGGATATCATGTTTGGTAAAGTGGAGTTGTTGTTGTTGTTGTTGTTGTTGTTGTAATATGTCATCGAGTCGATTTCTACTCATAGTGACCCCTCCTTGGGTTTCCGAGGCAATATCACTATGGAAGCAGATTGCCCCATCTTCCTTCCGAGGAATGGCTGGTGGGTTTGAACCGCCAGCCTTCTGGTTAGCAGTCAAGTGCCTTAGGCACTATGCAACGAGAGCTCCTTGGTAAAGTGGAGGTTCAGCAAAAAAGGGGAAGACTCTCAACAAGATGGACTGACACAGTGGCTACAACTACAGGCTCAACCATAGCAAGGACTGTGAGGATGGCAGTGTTTCATTCTATTGTACACAGGGTTACTATGAGTCAGAGCTGAATCGGCACCTAAGCAACAAAAATATCCAATGTAGGATGCAACACACCTGTTTTTAGAATTGTGCACTATAACTAGAACACTTTCCGCAGCATAAGACTAAGTCACCCACCATGAATTCAAGGGCTTCTTAGGTGGAATTTTTTGTAATTTGAGGGATCATTTCAAATGAGTGAGGCACTCCGGTGGTGTAGTGGTTAAAGCATTCAGCTGCTAACTAAAAAGTCAGCAGTTCAAACCCACCAGTCTCTTCATGGGAGAAAGACAAAGCAGTGTTTCCATAAAAATTTACAGCCTTGGAAACCCTATGGGGCAGTTTTACTCTGTCCAAAACGGTCACTATGAGTCAGAATTAACTCGATAGCAGTAGGTTTGGTTTTGCTGGGTTTCCAAAAGAGTTATGGCTCTCTGGGGAAATTTAATGTACTATGTGTGCTTATGCTCAATAGAGGTCATAAGTATTCTTAATTATTTAGTAGCTGCCTACTCAACAAGTTCTGATTTTCTCAGGAGGGCAAGAAAGAATAAAGCTCAAGAGAAGAGAAGAATATTTGGAAGTTCATTTATAGGAATTCCCAACCTTTTCAGAAACATGAAGAGTCTGAAAAATCATAGTCATCTCTAAGATACAACTGATACACTGATATATTTCACATATAATTGAAAAAGTACCAACTTATACCGGATTCTTGCATCAATCATAAGCAGTAGGTAGCCAACAAAAGTTTTAGAACAAATTTGGGAGAAATATTGAAGACCAGGAAGTCTATTAAGGTACCCCTTTGTTAGAACTATAAAAGTCTAAAATACAGTCTTTATGAGAAAAGACGGTATACCAGATGGACAGATCAAGTTCTTAAAATACTTGCATTCTACAGGCAAAAGGCCTGAGAATCTGCTCCATACTTTGTACATATTTCTTTAAATACAGCTGAAATATAGAGAATTTCAATTATTCCACCAGAGTTTTCAGTTGTTATTGTTCCCTGACCTTTCCCTTGTTTAATTTAAAGATTGCACTGTATGTTTTAGTCTCTCAAAATCTGAGAAGACTAAAACATACAGTGCAATCTTTAGATTAAAATCTGAGAAAGACACTAAGATTCTGGCTTCACTGCATCTTATTGTAGTCAATAAATTCCTAAACATTATACACAACAGATATAACTTTACATAAATAACATTATCAAGTATAACAGGTGAGAGCTATATACATAAAGAACATTTAAAGTATTGTACATACACTATTAGTAGAAGAATGGTATCCATAAAGTTGAAGACGCTGACATAGAGCACAAAGGGCCAAACGAAGTGTCACATTTCAGAATGAACCCAAGTACAGCAAAAGAAAAAAAGAAAAAGATGACAAAAATAATCAATTAGGAAGGGCAAATCATTATGCTACATTCTATATAGAACACACACACAAATGGTATAAATGTTAAAGATGAGCAGCAAAGTTTTTAAAATCTCACATAATTGAACATTAAGTGAATCTGTGCTAATTTCAAACATTCTCATTGTAACCTTCTGATAAAACTGTTGCTTTGAGTAAAACATGTCCCTCTTAAGTATGTAGTTTTATTTAGACCTATTTTAGCAATTTTCCATAAATAGAGGAAAAATCTAGATTCAGCAGCATGGCATAGTGGAAATGGTAGGCAAGACCTACACTGGAATCCTAGTTCTGCTCTTAATAGTGCTGTGACTTATAGGCAAGTCATTACCCTAAGACTATTTTCTTGTCTGTAAAACAGGTATGATACTTACCTGAGAGAACTGTATTGAGGTCTGAATGGGAATAACATTTTATAACGGATCTAGCACAGAACACACCACATAATAAACATCTCAAGAAATGTTATGTTCCTTTCCCTATTTCCTTCTGAAACTTAGCATTTTTCATTACTGTAAATATTTTTATTTAGTTTTGATTTAATAATCAGTTTGAAAGAGAAGCTTAAGCTTTACTATCAGCTAACCTTTTGGAATGCTCATATTTCATATACTGTTAAATAGGTATGTGCTTTTTGCTCATTTAAGCCCTGTAACAATCACATGTGGTCATTACTACCATTATCCTCATCTACAAATGAAGAAACTGAGGTACAAAGAAGGTGGATTAGGTATTGAGTGGCAGGACAGGATTTGACCCAGAAAATCTTGTTCTTAAGCCTGTGCTATACCCTCTCTCTAATGACACGTATTTTCACTATAATCTAAATTCAATTTCTTCAAAAACCCACTACAATGTTCTAAGGATACATGGACCTGCATTGTCATTTCTATCATCTTGACAACCAAACCAAAAAAACCAAACTCACTGCTGTGGAGTTGATAGGAACCCCTCCTTGGGTTTCTGAAGCAGTATCTTTATGGAAGTAGATTCACCAGTCTTCCTTCCAAGGAGTGGCTGGTGGTAGGTTTGAACCACCAGCCTTCTGGTGAGCAGTCAGATGCCTTAGGCACTGCACCTCCAGAGCTCCTAGTGCGCTGTATTATTTCAAGGCACCCTAGTAGCACAATGGTTAAGCACTCAGTTGCGAACAGGAAGGTCAGCAGTTTGAACTCACTAGCCGCTCTGCAGATGAAAGATGTAGCAATCTGCTTCCATAAAGATTACAGCTTTGGAAACCCTATGGGGCAGTTCTACTCTGTCCTATAGGGTTGCTATGAGTTGGAATTCACTTGATGGCAGTGGGTTTTATATTGTTGTAGAGTGCTGTTTTGTTTCGAGGCTGTACGAAGGATTATTTATGAGTTGTTTCAAGGAACAGTTTTGCTAAGTTATATAAACAAGATTTCAAGAGGGCTATTTAAATTAAGATAAATACCTCTAAGTTATCTTTGAATGTCAGTGACTAGTAAGCACTTCTTCACATATAAACAAGCTAAATATTACTCATAAGTTATTTTTATCTCTTCTTTAAAATAAGCTTCCTTCCTCCCTTCATTTGTTAGGGAATGTTACAATGATCTATACACATATAAAATAATATAATATAGGGCATGCTGGTATAATTCACATTTCATAACTCAGACAGACCTTACATAATTAATCCCAATTAATGAGGTTTTTCTCCTTCACTATCACAAAATAATTGCATTAATTCAATATTAAGTTTTGTTTATGCTGCAGTGAAGCTCAGGGGCAAGTTTTTATGCTAATGTTCTATCTTTTCCCAGTGTGGGTTGTCTGCTATGATTTTTCCCTTGTATTTCTCCCTTTGTCACTTAAGTGTTTTAGGAAATGTTACTGATTAGAATATTATTATATTTTTACTGGAAGATATATAAGTCATTTCTGGAAGTAGTTTAAATAAATAAAATAATTACATTTATATCCACTGGAATCCATTTGTATCTACTTTATCACTGAGGTATATCAAAAATACAGTAATATAATTTAACCTCTTTAAATGACATTTTATAAGGATTTGTGCATCCTGTCAATAATACTTAGAGGCAATCTATCAAAACTAAAATAACTGCTTACTCTTTCAATGTATTATTATCTATTGGAAATAAAATTTAAGAATGTATTCAATTCTCTAGTCTCATTTCTTAATATTCTAAAAAAAACTACATATGGGGCTGTTCATAGTGGATTTATTCATTACAATTTGAAAATCGTGAGACCTGAATTAAGTGGAGAACTAATAATGCCCTTGTATCCTTGGCTAAGATGATAATCAGATCTTATATTTTTAAGACTGTCTTCCACATGTTTTGTTAGTTAGTGTACTAGAAGAGGGTTAACAAACACTGCTAGTTATATCATAGTCAAATATCCTATGAGCCAATGTGTATTTCATAATTCTTGTAATCTGCTTTTATTAAACTAAATAGAAATGTACATTTTTAACTAAATATACTGGGTTTGAACATGGCACTCATCTGCTACAGATAGTGCATGTTTTTAAAAGCCTGTAACATAATCTTGGAAGAACAAAACTAATAAAAAATGTTGCGACTTCTAAAGTTAACTATTTGAGTTCCATATACACTAACTGAACTACTGCACAGGAGCATGTATTTGCAAATGAAATAATTATTTGCATGACAACAAAATTCACTGTGTTTCTGCTATCTAATTATCAGGTTAAGAAATATGGTATAGTAGGTAAAAAAGCAGGTTTTGGAGCTGGCCAGACATGGGTTCAAATCCTGACATTGCTATTTAATAGCTTTGTAACTTTGGGCAAAATACTCAACTTCTCCAGTTCTCAGTTTCTTTATCTATAATTACAGATAATAAGAGAACTACTGGGCAAATTAATTGGGAAAATGCATGCAAAGCACCTAATATAGTATCTGATGTGTCTGACAGCAGGTGAACCTGTCATCAGGCTGAAATACATGGGAAAAGGAAAGATAAAACTGATAGGAAGATGGAGGAAAACGTTACTTAACTAACTTCAGAGGAAAATAAATATAACTCATCTCAGAAGAATCTATATTTCTAAGAATACAAGGAAAGATATTCCTTGTATTTGCTTTAAGATTCACATTGTTGTATTACCCCTAAATTCACTCACATTTATAATTAAATCTTTGCAATTCACCTTTAAACTTTTACATGCATAATGATCTGCATTAATCCATTATATGATATACCCTTCAAATATCACAGATAACAACAATAGTGATGAAAATAATTTAATGAATGATTATGGATATGGATACTTAATATCAATATTGATATAAATATTGATATTGATGCATATAAACACTGAAGCAATTTTTCTAAATAAGAGTTTAGACTTTTTAAGAGAGGGACAGCTCCCAACAAACTTTACTTTTTATCAACATAAATAAAATAAATCTTACCTAGAAAACCCACCTGAAACTAATATATATTATCCTTACCAGCAGTGCACGTTTTTCTTCATCTCCTTTAGTTTCTCTCTTCTCATTTTTTTTCCTGAATATCTCTTGAAGCTGAAAAAGAAACCAATCAAAGCTCAGATACCCAACAAAGGTTTCTGGGAACCTGCTCACTACTCTGTCTAAAGCACATTCTATAAATAAATAGTTAGCTTCATTCACTAGGAAAATTAAAACTACTATAGATACATTTCCTGATAAAATACATCGTCTGTTACAGGCAAGTCATAGTTAAATTAAACACATAAAACTATAGCTTCAGCACTAAAATATAAAGACATGGAGTCTGTGGAACACACATACAAAGAGCTGAAGCCTACTAGGGTACAAGGAACATCGGAAGAGAACTCAGGGACTCTGAGTCTGAATCCAATTTTCGTCACACAGTACTTTTAGGACTATGGACAGGTCATTCAGCCCTCACTGGGCTCCATCCACTTTGCTCATATATGAAGGGAGAACAGATTAGATGATCTCTATGGTCTCTTTCATATTATCTGAGCATGGTGGTGGAAGCATCATCTCTGAATGTATAATCCCTTAGGTAAATTAATTATTTAAAGCTTGTTTTCCATATCTGGAAAATGAAGACAATGCCTGACCTTACAGCAGTGTGTATGGAGTAAATATTACAAGTAACTGCTTAGTACATTGACTGTTGTATAGTACTGTCTCAATAAACGTTAGCTATTATTATAAATGGTATTCTTTCATCTTTAAAATCCTATGATTTTACAAATGTAAGCCTAATCCTACTTTATATCAGTTTCCAATAGAGTTCACTGTAATTGCTCATATAATTTGAACAGCTATCTCAAGTCCCCATTTCCTTTTCTACAGCAATAGTTGAAACCTAAATAAAATGCACTGCCTACTAAGTTATGTAATAATATTTAGGAACACAATACAAAATACAAATGATTTTATTAACACATAAATTTATTCCACACTTCTAGTGAAAAGAGTTTTTAGCAAAAGTTGCTCATAATTATTTTATAAATAGGCAGGAGAAGCATAGATTTTAGACATCTTCAAAAAACTTAGCCTAACTCCACTTCCTGTTTTTAAGAACTCTTTGCCAAAAAACAAAACAAAAATCACACACGAAGCAGCAGTTGAGCCACTGAAAAGAGTAAACCACAGCTTTAAAGCAAGGGTAGCTCTTGCAAGCGTGTAGAGTAGAAACAAACAGAAGAGTTCTACATGAATGTTTTTTAATCCCCATCTCCATAAACAGACAGTATACTGAAAGACAGCTACATGGGCATCTTTCAGTGTACTGAGTTCCAAAATTTAATCTTTAATTCAGTAGGGTAAGACTTGGTAATAGTGCCAAAATAATTGTAAATCAAATTATTTACATTAGTAGATCCATTCTGCAAGTTTCTAAAATAGTTATAACAAAATTATATTAAACTAAACTTGTCCATTTTAGGATATTAGAAATGTGTTTTTATCTTTGTGATGAAATGGAAAACTCCCACTTGCCAGGCATTAGAATTAGGGATCCTCCACAGCTCTAGCTGCAATGGCTTGGCTGACAGACTGAAGCTGATCGGGTGTTAGGTTAAGCTTTTTGACAGATCCCAGTAATCAGTCTGCGTGCTTTCCTTCCAATGGCTACTAACTAGCTTTTGATAAGGATTTTTCTCTTTTCTTTGCTACTACAGAAAAACATGATGCCATAGTTTCTCTTTTGTGTTCTAACCTCTGAATAAACACAAAGTTCTTTAAAAAGTTTTCTGAGGGATTTTTTTTTATGCTTGTCACAGAAGAAAAATAAAATGGCTTATTCATATATTATCTTTCCCCTTTCTTTCTTTTTTTTTTCTTATCCTTATCCAAATGTGAGAAGTGTGATTTCAAAATAAAATGTGTCACTATAGTGTCCTTGCTTGCTAAGGAAAAAATTAATATAAAGCACTGTATCAGAGCAAAAACAGTATAGGTATTTTGTCACAGAAGCAGATGCATGGTACCTAGATAGAGAAATATAAAAATTCTGGAAGGGGGAGGGGAGGGTGGTGGTAAGATGAGTGAGCTTGTTAAGTCAGATCGGCACCACCAGCACTAAGGCTGGAGTGGTCAGGTGAGAAAGATGAAAGGATAAGTATCTAAGAATGATCTTACTCTTCCTGACCTAGAACAGTCCTTGGTTAAAGACAGGAGAAAGGAATAGGAAAATGGGGATAAGACAGGCCTATAAGAATGACAGAGAGAAGAAGAAGAAGAAACATAACTCCTATACTGTGAAGGAAGGAAAGTTTCTGTGGCAAAGAGTTGTGATTGGTTGCCTGATCTGATGGGCATTAAAAATTAATGGGGCGGAGGCGGGGCAAGATGGCGGACTAGGCAGAAGGATTGCACAGACCCTCTTCAACAAAGAAAAGG